ATAACACATTATCCTAATGTATCAATAGAGTAAATCTACTTTACTGTTTCTAATCGTGTATCACTTTTAATGACTATTCTAAATTGTAATATACCAGTGATCGGTCCGAATATATCGTGTGAATGAAATGTAAGATAAGTTCTTTTTACAGTCCATAAACATTATAGTAAAATTTCGAATATGTGACCATTCTTAAATTAAGTATATCAAAAGTATTGGGTGGCTTTTCAGATTTTAGTGAAGCATACTCTAATCTATTTGTGAAAGAATGCATAACTTTCATTATAAACTACTGTTTGAATCTCATATTTGGCACCAAATTCTAATGTTATAAATTAGTCGAATTTGCATAAATGGAATTTTATCAAGATTTAGTGTAAGTTTAAACCGTTAATTAAATTCACTAATTACTGTATACAATTTAAATTCGATCATAGTGTAAGTCTGAAATTGATTTACTCACTCTTCAAGGAAAATCAATACTGATATTTGCCAGAGTAGTTTAGTTTATCTAACATAATTCTATAACAGTATTAAATTGATTTTTATAGTCTGAAGAGTTTTATGCACTAAACATTCCTGTTGAGACATTAAACAAAGACGTGATGACTGAAATATTCCTTTTCAATTCATTTTTCCCTAACAGGTAAACAAAAAACAGTTGGAAGTTCCAAGCATCTGAAAGATCTATTCCTAATTTCTGTGTGGTCTGTTAAATGAAAATTTATTTTACATTCCATTTAGAAACGAATTGAATGAAAAAAGATTTTAATTCAAATCTCAAAATCTATTTATTTTTCTGCTTATAAAACAAATATTTATGCATATATAGGTCATTGGAATCATACCATTGAAGTAGTTATAACACATGCTCAGCATAAAATAGTACATACACTTTAACATACTTTAATAGTTCATGAATAGTTGATGTTATTATACTACTTTCAACTAATCACAACACTGCTGATTAGTATAAAAAATTGGTACACATTTACTGTCAAGAGAAAAAAATATGTGTTATTTCAGTAGTTTGATGAATATATTGTGTTTTCTATAACTGACTAGCTCAAACTTAGTTGGTTTGAGCAACAGACTGAAGAATTCGTTTGAAGACCAGTGAAATACTGGACTGTTTAAAATTTAATCCTGCTTCGAACCAGATGCTGAAAAAGCATTTTTACATTAACATAATCTCAGTGGTTACATTTCTGGCTATGTAGCTAAGTGAGGAGAAAACGAATCTTTCAGTAAATCAGTTTCCCCAAAGTAATGGGTCTACCATGCTGAAGAGTTCTGAAAATCACGAAACCTAAGACTAGGATTATCTCTTGCTATCTCTGACCACTATCTTACATTTCAACATAGTACACGTAATGTCAAGTTACATGGACTAGTGGCTACATGGCAGCTGAGTCGGTAGAGCAAGATCAGTAATAAGAAGAACTTGACATACATGATATTCTTCACTACTTAGTGACCAGTCAACTGTAAACGGAAGTGATTTGTTTTCTTTAGCCTGCTCATAACCTCATTTTCTGCCCGTCAACTAATATATAGTTACCAAGCTAATTATATTCTATAGTCACTTAATCATTTGTGATATTTATATTTGACATTATCTGTCCTGCTTTATATGATTAGATTTTTTACCCGATACATACGAATCGATCCAAATATGTTATCTTATTATTTTCCTATCCATTTAAATTTCTATCTTACTCCAAATATCTGTCTCAACTCCAATATTTAAGTTTTGTTATATTTTGTCTTTAGGCTGATGAGAAATATCAACATAGAATGATGAATCCATTTCACTGCACAAATCGTATTATTATTGCATCGGTTAAATACAGAAACGCAGGTTTACTCAAGGTTCATTCGTCTGGTGTATCACTTTCGTAAGCCTATTGGACTCCAACTACTGATTTAGTATCTTTTCGTAGCAGTATTTTCGTATTACACGTCTAAATAACGATATACTCTTGTTAGCCTTTTTTCACTTGCTCAAATAAGAATAGATTTGCTTAGAGTTGTAACAGAGTGTATGGAATAATAAACGTTAGTAAACTGTCTAACTGATGGTACATTTTTGCTAATTGTTTGATTTTCACCATCTACTCGATATTTAACAGAATTAAAAATCTCAGAATGATATACTGCCATATTTTATTCTTTAAAACTAGAATCTGAATAAGAAAGTATCATTTTCATTGGTTTTATTACTATAATAGCTATTGTTCAAGGCCTAATCTCCTCATTCTCATGCGCAGTCTTTCGTTTCCACGAAACGTTTTTGGTGTCACATTTATTTTTTAGTGATATTATCATTAATCGAGTTTGCAATTTATTAATTTTGCAAGATCCCTGTATAATGGAAATGTCATCAATTTATGCCTTCGATTAGAGATGGCAATAATGGTTTATAAATTTGCTTACAAGTTGGTTTAACTTATTATTTTTTCTGGTTAGAATTTTTTCTAGCTAGTTGGTTTTCTACTGGATTAGGTCACTAATCTCATATACCCAATCTTCCTCGTTGCTCCGGGTTTGGGATTATCAGGAACCCTAGAAGGGAGTCAGGCGGAGTTTGCATGTTGCTTAAATGTTAATTACAAGTTTGGTATACTGTATGATTTTGTCACTGACTCACAACTGCTAAAAATGTTAAAGTATGAAGAGAGAAACTATTTTCAGTGTAAAAAATATTTCAGTTATATTACAATGTGATAGCTAAATATAGGTTGAGTACTTGATCAAATAAATTATCATTTATGAATATGTTGTGATATGTTAAAATACCAAGCTTCATAGATAATTAGAGTTTTCATTAAATAATACCAAAAAATTTATGGTCTGATTAATTGGAATTTGACAACTTTTTAATGAAATATTTTATGGAACATGTTTCCAAGCTTTATGAAATGTTAATAATAATAATTATTATTATTGTTATTATTAGTAATATAAGAATATAGGTGTGTGCACAGAGATGCCAAAAATCTCTATTTTATGGAGAAACAATCATAACTGACTCACGAAATTAAAATACTTCATGTTCTCTAGGAAACATCATAAGAAAAGAACAACCATACAATACAACAAGAGATATATACATTTTAATCAAATATTGGTCTGAATAGTAAAACTCAGTGACCTGACTAGGTTAAGTAACAACAATAAGATCAATAAAAATTTGATCAAAATTACTTTTCTCACAGATTTTATCAGTAGTATTCAGTTTTCTTGTTTCTTCACATTGTACTAAGGTGATTTCTTCGAAAAGTAGGTAGGTTTTCTAAAGATTTGCCCTTCTAATGGAAAGAATACATATTCATCTAACAAGTGGTTGTTTATATATATTTATAATTACTTCACTACAAGTTTACAGATGTATTGAATTTCTCGCTTTATATTTGTATGTACATTACCTTGAGTATTTTCCTCAAATAGGTACATATTGTAGACTGAAATCAGGAAAGATTTCTGTATATTAAGAAACCGAACAATATTGATTACTTTTCTTAGTTGAAGCGATATTACGACATAATAAGATCACTAGAATTGAGCATAAATAACGGCTAAATAATTTTGTCAATAAATTGTTTCTGACGCACAGTGAATGACTTGAAATGCAGAGTTTTCCAAAAATTCAGCTTCCAATCGGTAATATTCATTTGTTTATGATCAACTGTTTCTAAAATCTTTGTATCCTATACGTTTCCATATAGATTCAAGTTAATACGAGACATTTATGATAAGTAAATTTGCTACTTGACTGCCGTACATACTTCATTACTGATCAGTGTAAAGAAATGAAGAAAATTCGAAGTTAACAGCCTTTCCTAACTATCTCCACAATCAAATAAATATCAGATGCTTTTGAAGGTATAAAAATGTTAACACATTCATATTATTTGCTATGTGGTAAAATTTTTGAATTTATTTAGACATTTCGATGATAATCCTCTCATAGAGAATGCTTTCAGTTAATCATCAAGCCGAAATTGTAGGATGTAACAATTATTTTGAGTATGGAAAAGTCTTGATTATTCATCTCTAGTATTGTTGATGTAAATTCCTGACATAACCTGTTTAATGTGTTATTAATTTTACATTAGTTGAAATAAATAATTATTTTCAGGATAAAAGTCTATTGATTTTTTTTAAAATTGAAATTAACCATAGCTAAATTTATTTATACTGACAAATACTACATCATTATCTGTTAACAGGACTAGGTTTATACAAGCACTGTTGGCAAATATGCTAACAAGTCTCAGATTGTTCAAAACCTATAACCTCAATTATCATTCTAGTCAAAGTACAGAAATGTACCATCTACAGGTAATCTGATGGCGTTCACTCATAGTGTACATATGATGAACGGAGATTTATACAATCCAGTCCTAAATATCACTGAAGGGCTAATGCATAGTTCAATAGATATAATTAACCATTAATCACTAGAAGTCATTTCAACATTATTCCTAACAAAATTAGACTTGAAAAATATGTTCATTAATTGTTTAAAAATCCCCTATTATCAATAAAATACTAAATTTAGTTAATCAGGAAAACTTCATTTAAAAATTATCTCAAATTATTAGATAAAAAAGAAAATCTTATCACGTATATATGTGATCAATATGTCCGGTAAATGAGTTATCCACCCCTGTATGATTAAATGAACATTTTATCATACTACAAGTTTCTCATTATGTTTCTCTATCACTCCTTTTCTCTTTGTACATTACTGTATATCTATCTGTCTTTCGTCCAGTCTTTTTCAGCTAACCAACGTGATTAAATTACATCACACATACAGTATATTATATCAAACATCATTGTAAATGTAACTGGGTCACTAGAAAAAACAATCAAAAATCGATGCAGTTCTCATATAAAAAAAAAACAAACAAAAACTAATTTAAATTAACCGACTGAAAATTCTTAATTCACATCTACTGTGTTCTGTTTCATTCATAGATTGTGGTGTACAAGTTTGTGTATTCAATAATAAACTATCGTTTTTTTTTTATTTCTCCGTCTTCGTTATATATATTCAAATTAACTATTCTATTGTATAATTATGCCAGTTCGTCGTTCAAATAAAAATCAAACTTTACGTACTGCTAAATCGGATAGTTCACTTCAACGACAAAAATATGATCGGAAAACAGGTCGAAAAATATTTTATGATTGTGTTGTATGTGTGTTAGATAGAACTTTGGTGGATACTAGACAAATAATGAAACAAGAAAAATTGAGTGATATATTAATTTCACACTTGAATAAGCGTAGAAGTCATCAAGCTCACTTGATATGTTATGAAGATGAAATTGTTTTTCGAAAGAAGAATTTTGTTGCTAAATCATTGTTTCGTGATCGTGTATTGTACAAAGATATTGAACATTATTTTCTATGCGCTGAATATCCAGATATATTTATGATATCAGTGAAATCTGAATTTCCATTTTCAAGTTACTGTGAAACTTACAAATGTAAAAATGCTGCTGATGCTAAACAATTATGTGAAGCAGTTTTTCTAGCTTGTCAAGCTCCTGATAAAAAATTACGTGAATTTCCTTCAACAATTGATTCACAATCACTAGCTGCTTCTCCAATAAGATCAAAATCAACGCCACATATCGACACACAAACAAGTGCAGATGTAATGAATCGTTCAATGTCACATAGTTTAAATGATGTTTGGACTTCGCCAAGATTACATGTTGAATCGCCAATACCTTCACCAATACATTCACCAATAAATTCACCGATACAATCATCAATGCTGTCACCAGGTCGGTCACCATTGTACTCTTACCAGTCACCTGTTCAAACATCGATGAATCGTGATTCCATGTTTAAACCATTAGTAGTTACTCCAGTCAATACAGCGAATACTTCAGCTTACGTGTCTGATCCGAACGATATGACTACAAATACAACTTACTTCGATTACGATCCAGTTCATGGTCCACAAATCAATGAAGTTGGACCAATTTATATGTTTATGGTAAGACATCCATCACAGCACGACATGACACATTTGGCAATGGAATCATAATCAATCAATTATTGATCGAGTACATGAACGAAACAAAACAAAACATGATTGTTAACTAAATATAACAATTCTAGTTGATTAAAATAACCTTCAAAGAAAAAGAGTTAAAAATAAGATTAATTTTTTTTCTAACCAAAAAGAATAACTTTTTTTTCGAGTAGAACGTTTACTTTATTTATTTATCTTACAAACATAACTTAAACGAAAGATGGGGCTATTATTTATAAAAGGTAATGTAATTTTGTTTCGCTTTTCGCTTGATATGCTTACACATGTTTTTTTACAAGAAGCAATGAAACATTGAACTGGTGCTAATAGCTCTATATTTTGCAAGTTAATGTTATGAAATTATTGTTGATGGAGTGTTTTCTCTCTCTATTTTTTCCTTAAACTATTGTTAGTATAACGGTATAATTTAAAGGTAAAAGTAACTTATCAATGTTAAGTGATATAATAATATATTTTTTCTTCTGTTGTTTGTTTAGTCCATGTTGAAATTTTATAGATTATTCTGTTTTCCTGATGATAATAATAATATAATTTTCTGGCATAACTATGACGCTTTGTTCATTGAAGAAAAAGGTGAAAATAATGTAAATGATATTGATTTGAGAATTATTTCGCCTAATGATGATCACGTTTTTGAAATTATCAAACATGATGATCATGCATAATTGTGCACTGTGACAAGTGACAAATATTCTCAGTGCAATGGTTTATGCCCACAAATAAGTAAGTTGAATATACTCGTCACAAATCAGTATCAACGTTAAGTAGCGATTCTAAAAAAATTTGTGTAACTCTTTGAAGAAATATAGTAAGAATGAGGTCATTTATTAACTAAGTGAGAAAAAGTAACACTGAATGTCATATGATATGAATTTAAAGTCCTACAGGGGTAAAACAATACCATTTAAACTATTCGTCTATTCTCTTTACATTTTTTTGCAAACAGTGTAGTGAAATAAATTTTAGAATAAATCAATCAGTGATGTGCACGTATAATCATCATGTTGATTCGGATATAAGAAATAAATATATTTCTGTCCTGTTATTCTATGTTGAAGTTTTAAAAAAAACAAGGCCCTACATGACAACACTTTTCGACTAATAGTATTACTCAAAAACTTAATTTTCAAATGATAAACAGGTATTCTGAGTCGAAAATATAAAAACAAACAGAGAAACGGTTTCTACTGAATAACAGAGGACTATTTACCACTATTTACCTTCATAGAAATGTTTTATATGACTGAAAAGTTGTTTAACAAGCTAATTCTTCTTAATTTTTTGCATAGTTCTAATTATTGAAGCAATGAAGAAGTATTGATCTGCTAGAGCATTGCTTTTTTTTATTTAAGAAAAAAGTATGTAAGATGTTATCGTTAACCCAATTGTTATAGGTATTTAATAAGGAAGCGTGCAGAAGTCAACAATTTTAGAAGGAATATTTCCTCTTGCATAAACAACTCTTCAGATTAATTAAAGTTTATAACTAAGATGATATCCTGGATTACTTTGAACTTATCGCGACCGGTCAACAGAATACTTTTAAGCTATTTCAAGACAATATCTAGTCAAGTTTATCGTATGCTACGTGGTTCTAATTTTGTAAATCTAAAATGAATCATCTTTCTTTATATTGATTCAGAGTTAGTCAATAAACAATGTGTAACAAATCCGATTAAAAAGTTTAAAGTTGCACTAACTTAAAGAACTCAATCTAAGTAGCTTTATTGTTAAAGCTCTGTGAAAATCCTCTTTGTGGAAAATAGTTTACTTCGGTTTATCTCATAAAATATGACACCCATTTGTCGGCTTATTCTGTTATGTATGCAGTTATGAAAGTAATCTTCAATTCTCATTGTCTGTTACATGTTAATTTTATACATTCTAAACAAAGTTACTTAAAATCTCTGCGCTAACCTTGTTTAATATTTCGTGAAATAGATCGTAAATCCTACGCTCAAGACCCAAAACATTAAGAAAATTTATAACTGGTTTAAAAAATTCATGATACAAAATCCCTTACAAAAATACAATAAATCATTTAAAGATATCAAGTGGTTGATAGTTTTGAGTTAATTAAGTCGTCCAAATATGTTACTAAAATCAATAATTTTATTTGTGGTTGAAATTTTAAAGCAGTAAGTTTGAGTAATTAACAAAAGCCATAACGATTGAAACATGTTGTACAATACAGCAAGACTTTATTTAGTGTCCTTGTAGACCTAAGTACATTAATGGAATGACATTTTAGTTCTACGGATAAAATTTTGCTAGTTGTAATGAAATCATTTGTTTTTATAGGTAAAAACAAAAGATTAAAACGTTTGTGTCCGTCAAGATCATTTGGTCTCTCAGGTTATTTAAGCTTCATCCAAATACATCTACGGGAGCAATTATTATTATAAAATGAGGTGATGGGCTTCAACTGTTGATAATGTCAGATGGAAATGGATGGTCGGTTGGCCTAATGTCTGTTGGTAGGAATAAGAACTTCCTACCTTCATCATGGACAATCATGAAAAAGCTGGAAACTGCGTCCAGGTAGTCACATATCTTTATGCATAATGCAAAGAAAAGATTTGGCCTAGTTTAAGAGTCAAGGAGTAACTGACCTAGAGCAATACGGACAGATTTATGCTCATTGCGGCCAGTAGTAAATGAATGGCTCAGTGGAAACTCCTCTGAATCCGACTGTAAGCAAATCACCTTCGATACTAACGTGTTGCAAAGGCTTGGTGACGACTTTAGATACTCATAGCCAACAAACCAGACTAAGAGCGAACTTATTCCCAGGATCTCTTGTAAATCAACTAACATCACGGGGATTAATACTGCACTTAACGATACAAACTTAATTTGTGGGAGCAGAAAAACTGAGGAAAGTTTTATCAACATGGTAGACGAACCGATAAAATGGAATAAAAGTTACAAAAAACAGTACTAAATTATCTTTGATGATATTGATCAATAAAGCAATAATTAAATATGACGCTAGAACTCGAAAAATGCTTAGTGTTTCTGAATTAGTGAAAACAAAAATAAGGCAAATGTTGTTTATATAAAAATAATTATCAAAACGTAACCAAACTAAAAGACGTAAGTCATAACACAACAGGTGTTGGCAGAGATCAATAATGTCTTCAGAGCCTATGAGAAAAAGCGGAGAAATTGCTTTTTTAGACAATAAAGGACAAGTGTTTTGTATTACGACAGTGTTAAATGAAGCTCTTACTTGTTTTCCAAGTAAAAAACTGAATTTCGGAGGTTCAACCGATGCTACCTCGACAAAACATGCTGTTCTGATATTATTGTTGTTCCTGCTGTACAAAATTGGATTTGTCTGAAGAGTATTGTAGAGATCATTTGGTACAATAAACACTTTGGGCGAATAAATAAAATTTAACTTACTTATGACTTACTCTTCAACTGATGGATCAAGACTTTTTCTCTAAGACTGCCTTAAGTACGATTTTGATGGTTTTTATTATTTATGAACATTGATTTGATGGGCTGCTTTTACCACAAGTGTTCATATGCTGAAATACATATGGGTTTTTGAAAAAGTTGTTTAAAAGAATATAAGAAAGAGTCTTAAGGAAAATCAGGGATAATATTTGTAGTGAAGCTGGAGATGTGAATCGGTGGATTTCAGATAAATGGTCTAAGTGTAATCTTGTTACTATGGGTCTTAAAAAGCTTGTGGTCTGAGTCCTAGAAAAGTAACTGGTTAGTACTGCATAGACTGCCTAGTATGAGAATACGAGAATGAAATGGTTACTTATTATTTACTAGTTTATAATAATCGTTTAGCTGAAAATGCTTCATATGGCAAGTAGATGCTTATTTAGTTTAGGCATGTTGGTCATGTGTATGTTTTCAATCACTTAATCATAATTTTTACAAATGCAAACAACAAAAGCATGTTACATTCAAAGCAGTTGTACAGACTGTCATGACAAGCTCTCTAGTTCAAGAGGATAATTTTTGAGGGGCTATCTTCTCTGAACAGAATGCTTTAAACGAGAACCTTACGTTAGCTTACTACATAAACTTATCAGTTCAGAGAAACAGAGTAAAATATATGGTCCTTCTTTACAGATTGTTAACCTTCGTAAAAGTTCTACAGAAGTGGTTTTGAAACACTAAGACTGCACCACTCCGCCAGTAGAACCTTAGGGGCTACTGCCGGTCCCAAGCACGGATAAAGGAGGAGGGTTGGACATGGGGTTGGCGACCCCATTCCTTTGAAATCTCACTTGCCAAAAGAACGCTAACCAGAAAAAATAATTCAAACTAAGACTGCACCACCACTGAATCAATGAATATTACTGCAATCATATGCTTATTATTTCATTATGTATATGAAAATGTGATATACTTCTGTTCCAGTATAACTTATATCTTCTATTCTGAATGATAAATTTAACTAAAATTCGAATTACAATTTCATTTCTATTTTGACCACTCCACATATATAAGAAGTTCAGTAAAATATTATAATTTAATGACAAATACATCTGAAACAGAGCAAGTCAAAGTAAACTTGTATAAATACAAGGAAAAGCTGATTAAATGTAATCACTTAATGGTAATATGCATCATACGTGAGACATCATTAAGCGATTTGAAATACAATTTGTCATCTATTTAAAACGAAGATATATATACTTTCTGATCACTCAGTCCTATAGGCAATCTGTCACACCTAAATTGGCTTGGTGGTAGCCTGTCACTTTATAGATCTGAGTGATGGATATTCTAAACCTACGGAGGATATCAGCGCCTTGACAACTGGAGAAATTCTGTATCAGAAAATCACGCTTCAGACAAAACCAAGGTTCAGGGATTTTCAGTACAATTGTATTTCTTACAGTATTTGTCCTCTTCGAAAATTTACTTTAATTAGCTAATAAAAAAACTTCAAAAGATTCTTCGTTCACTAAATACAAAATGAAAAATACCCTGCGATATTTTCAACTAATGTGCAAACAGTTCAGTATTAGATAAATTTAATTTCGCTCTGATAATTACAGTTACGCTAGCAGATTAAATTGAGCACACTGAATTTTCCACTTACGAAATTTGTTTTTAATGCACCAAGAAATCAAAAATTGTTTATAAAAAAATAATTTGCTGGAGTGTACAGTTTAAAATTCAAGAAGAAAGGTTACTAGTTGCTTTCTGATCATATAAATTACCTTACATAATCAATCACTTGTACTGTAAGAAGAAAGTTATTTATACGCACAGAGAAGTGTTCTCCACATAACTCTTCACTGCCTGAAGTCAACAATCTCGACAACTCTATAATGACAATTATGGTATGCTCACGAGTGACTGGCCTGGTAAGGTAATTCTCGGATATCTAGTGAGAAGCCATGACTAATGGAGTTCACCTGTGTCAGGTGTAAGGTGGTTAGCCACCGAGGCTTTTGGATGAGGTTGCGTACAACTCTTAGATTGACCTGGGTGAAACATTAACACCGTTGCATGCCAGCCCGGTGATCTAGAATTCTTGCGTTCATGTGAGCCGGAGTCTCGGACGTGTACTAATTTGAATAGTTTCTCTTGAATCATGAAGGACTGATAAAACTGATCCAGTTGCCGTGAAATTCAGAATCAAAGTGGTTTTATGAAGCTGAAATGAACTAATTATTAGGTTTTGTTTATATAGAAAGCATACTTTCTGAACATACAGAGCTTCTCTATTTATTACTGATAAGAAGAAAACCGACTTGTTTTTTCTATTTCTGCACGTATATGCCTCACCGAGTATAGCAGCAGAATTTCTTATTCCAATAAAAATAGTTCATTGATTGACAACTCGTCACAGACGAACCGTACCTCTGTTTGAGGTTTGAATCAAAGCAGTTCATCAACTCAGATTTTCTGAAGCTTGCTTATTGTGATCTCCAAAACTTAGTTAAATTTAGATCAAATGTCAGTAATTAATCATCTAGGAAAAAAGGTTTCCGTCGCCACAAGTAAATCTTAAATGTTGTTGATGGTTGTGTCGGAACTTTATGTTCTTAAACAACAGTCTATTTTGAATACTGCATTGATAACTAATCGATCATGAACAACAGCAATCCGTCAGTCATCAAAAACATATTTATACTACGTTCAACAATTTCCCGTAGACATGGTAGAAAAATAATGAAGTGCTTAAACGCTGAATTTATAGTTGACATAACTCATGAATGAATTATTTACACATATCATACTAGTAACGGCCATATAGCCACGCAAATACACTTAAAAAACTGTTGCTTGTCCGTTAATAATACAGGACCTGAAATTTACGGAGTTTGGAGATCTTGATCAAAAAGAAGTCTAATGTTGAGAAATGAGCTTAATTCATTACGATCCAAAATGAATATATAGCCCGATAGCTTTACTCGAATCATACTTACCTACTTACACACCTACGCCTGTTATCTCTAATGGAGAACATGCCGCCGACCAGCTTCCCTAAACAAACTCTGTCATGGATATTCCTTTACAGTCCCACTCAATTTCTGTTCATTCTTTTTATGCCTACCTCCAATTCTCATCTCAGTTTGTTCTATGGTCTACCTCTTTTCTTTTAACCTTAGGGATTCCGATTGCAGAATGTGTATAAATATATATATAGTTTTAAGTAGCCCTCACATGGAACCTCCATGGTCAAAGGAAAAGAGAAATGCCAAGGAACACATTATGCCGAGAAATAGAGAAACACATGAGAAGAATGAACAAAACTGGAAAGAACTAGAAAGGGAAGCCCAGGACAGAGTTGCTTGGAGAAAACTGGTGGGCGGCATATGCTCAATTGGGGGTAACAGGAGTAAGTAAGTAAGTAACCCAGGGAAACGTAATTAGATGTTATCGTATAATTTCAGAGATAACATAAAATCTGACTGTAACTTTTATCTCAAATCGACATTGAATAAAGAACCAGTATAAATCAAATAGCATCAAACAGATGTTGAAATATGATTTACGCATCTTCATTTGAGCAAAAATAATTTTTCTGAAAGTTTATGAACTGCCTACCTAAATTATAATTATGCGACCATTGGTAACTCTGTTCAGATGGACTTAATTCAGTTCCGATTGAACTATGAAACAATTCATGTTGGGAGTGTTATAGTGGTTTGTTAATTACATTAAACAAAAGACCTAATGTTTCATGAATTGCTTATGGGTCATTGGATGTGAACATAGAAGTTCAGAGGTAGTGTACTTATTAAGTAACAACTTAAGATTTTGGTTTCGGTTGCTTTAAACTAATCATAAGTACCATTGAGTAGCTTTAAACAGTGAGAAAACGATTCTCATGTTTCTTAAACTCCATATCTTTAACCGATATCGTTTCGTGATAAAACTCACATTTAAAAACAATCAATATTTGTATTTTCACATCACTGCAGATAATTTTCTCATGTTTAACAAAGAAAAATAATTAGGATTTTGAAAAAAAATTTATTTTTAAGATAAAAGTGTTAGTTTGTTCGATAGTAAGAAAGTTACAAATGCTGAATTTTTGTTAAACCATATTTAAATAATCCGTTATGATGATTCAGTTGGTTCAGAGTGGTTTCCACATACCATTTCAAATTGATTATAACAATTAATTTAATGTCACATTCGTTTTTGTAATTAAAAAACAAAAGATGTAATTGAAAAACCAAATTTACTGATATTTACGTTTTAACTGAGTTCATGAAAAATTTGAACTCGAAGATTCGTAATTAAATAAAGATTCCGATTCATCTTGAGAAGAACTTGATATTCTATGGGAGTTTAAAGCTTTAGAGTGATGTGGAACTGAATGACGCTGATAACAGTAACTATTATTACTGTTACTATGAAGGCGAGCCTTAACACCCGTAGTAGATTTTAAGAAGTCTATGAAATAGTTACGCGTTTCAAGATCCTTAATTTTATACAACTCATAGCGACATTGTCTATCAGTGCATGAATCAATGCATAGTACAAAACAGCCAGATGTTGATATACTTGATGAGACAAAAATATATTTCACTTCAGAATAATTGATACATGGTTTTGGATGAGTGTTTAGCTTTCGGTTCTTGTAATGCAGCACAATTTTGTCTGGAAGTATAAATGCCTTATATTTGACTGGTTTTGTTTTATGATATTTTCTGATAAATGAGATTGCATTCGATTCGGTGAAAAGTTCACAAGGCGGTAACACTACTGAACTGATCAATGAAATATCGATTCCACGTAAATATTCTTCTCTTCTGCGTTCTGGTGTATGACTGCGTCTACGCAGTTGATTGGTTAGGAGTACTGAGTTTTCTTTACAGTGAACCATGTGATTTACCTTGTTTGAGAAAAAGCTTATAGATGCATAATCAGTATCGTTTTGGAATTTCACGATCGATTAATTACTGAAACATTTCGATATACATGTAGTTTGCATTTGTTTCCAAACAGACTAAATATGTTTTGCCAAATTATCAAAAACACTCAAAATTATGAAAAATTTGATACACAGACATAGCAAAGAACAGCTCGAATAAGATAAACTTGCATATATGTGCATATGTTTAAACTTGTGGGTGTAGGTGTATGCACAAAACCTGTTATTCGCCCAATAGAAATTATAAAGTTTTGTAGCTTTATGTATGACGATGATTTGAATCGATCATTGATTAGAATTGGAAAGCATATGATATTGAAATTTATTATCCAACTCATTTTTTTTTGTTAACAGATAGTTATTGATATTATTATACATATAATATATGGCTAAACGGTCGAGTGATTTTACTTAAAGCGGGTTCAATATTTTGGGTAGGGACATCGATGATTCTCACTGCTGATGATTCCCATACTAGGAAGAAATTGCCGTTTAGTACTTCTAGGTTTCTAATGGTGGTCTAACATTGATTAATTCACGATTGCAGTGAAGCTTTACAGTCACCATAACCCTCACATCATTTTATAACTATTATAGTTGTAAGACAGTAGATTATCTAAACTTTTGGTACTTCATGAAAAAGAGCAATTTCAAAATTTAATTCTGTTTGTATTCCAATTTAAACAGTAGATACTTGTGAATAATTCTTCCATACAATAAGATTCGATTGATTCACAGTTTTAACCAAGAATGTACATTTTCTGTTATATTGACTTATTTGTGACGACTATTATTTCTAAGAATTAACGTACTGAATTAACGTAACTGAAGTAAGAATGCTTAACTTAGCAAAGCAATATGAACTAGTTTTTTTTCTGGATTTCCATTTGGAAAGAATAGTAATGTTTATTTATAGCCACTATATACGTATTTCGCATCCCGTTAATGAGGAGCAAGGACAATGGTTATCGATGAATTACAAAAATGGCAAAGTGGAGAAGTATTAACGTTAATAAATGTGTGAATTCGAGAAAACGTTTATAATACACAAAGATACGATACTAGATAAGTGGTAAAAAACAAAATTTGATAGATTAAAGAAATGAAATGAGTCAAGCTCAGTGAAAATGGAAGAAATATGCTTATGCGAGTCGTAAGATAAGATGTTAGTTAACTGAACAATTAAAAACAAAGGTTCATTTACGAAATATTTTACTTCGTATGAATAATTCTAAAAATTAGGACAACATATGTAAGCGAATAATATTGCTTTCAGTTAGATCGTCAAGAGGTTTTACACTAACACCGTTGGATGCCGGCCCAGTGGTTCAGAGTTTGGGCGTTCGTGAGAGACCAAAGTTCCTTGGCTAGAATCCTGCAAGGAGCATACTTCTGATGAGTCCCGTACCAGGAAGAAACGGCAATCCAGTGGTTCTAGGTCTATAATGGTAGTCTAACAATGAGTGAGTGAACATCTCCTTGTTTAGTTTAGAAAGGGCCAGATAAAAACAATACGCTGTTCTAACTTAGCCCATCTGATTGATAGCGGTCAAAATACAGATAAATTTGAATAATTTTTAGTGATCAATCGTGTACCTTTATTATTTCTCTACGGAGTTTGATCCTGTTCGTTGACCATCAGGACTTTGAAACCAGAGACAATACGAATTAGTTTAATGATATTTAAATCAAAACGTTTATTTTGAACTTTGGTTAGTTAATCAGTAGTCATAATGGTCATAGTAGTTTATTACAAGCCAAGAAGTAGTTAGATATTATAATTGTACACGACTCTAATTTGTTGCCTTGCGATCACTGAAATAACACTCAACGATTTCAGAATAAGTCGGCTGTTTCTTATTCATCAATCATACTTATTATTAGAAACAGCTATAATTCCATAATACCTAGTTAGGGTCTGAGAGATTACTGCCATTGGTGGTTGGAGACTTCTGTTGACTTGGTTACAGAAGTGGTCATAATACGACAGGCGCATGTATTGTTTATTGTCTTCCAGGTGTTGAGCTTCAGCATTCTGTCATGCTTACACTTCAGTTTCATCTTTATCATCTTCAGTGTTCACTCTTTTTCATCATTATTCAATTTCATGCGTTATTCATTGCGCTAATTTCATCCCGATGTATTGATGTAGTACAGCAACATTGGCAATCAGTTTTGTTAAATTATATTTTGATTCTAACTAACTAAAATGATTTACTAATCACTCACTACAACTTTGACAGTAGGCTAAAGTAGTTGGTGCTAATGTGAATTTTTACTACCACGGACTATGTACTGTCAGTTTTGATATTTTACACTAAATTAAAAAAAATTAAAATTAAAAAAAAGAACTCAAAATGAAGAAAATTTTTTTTCTATAGAAAAATTCAGTATTTTAAAATCTTGAGATTTTATTCTAAAAGTACATCACATGAATTAATGCGCATATGAACACGTACTTATTGATTGACTCAGTTCTCTGTATGTTCACACAAAAGACCATTACAAATATAACAACATCCATTGAGGCTTTTATTTTGCCACAACCACTCACCACTCATTGATTCATATAAATTCAATCATAACACTGAGCACAAATTCAATCCTTACTACCCACATGAATGTATGTGATCATGATTAGCAATAAAATAAACATATAGAATAAAAAAAAAATTACCAATACCATTTGTAAGAACCTACCTATCATAGCCAACTATTTCAAATCAGTATTATCTATCATCTTGAATTACAATGAATGGTAAGAAATTTTTTTTTTAAACAAAAGAATACAACACACATACCATGTAGTTTTTCTGATTGTATAAAGTTGTGTATTTATAGTTAGTTGTATGGTTTGTGCGTTCTGTATTTATCGATTTCATATACTTCTTTAGATGATGATCACATAAAAATCTAATAGTTTGTTAGAAAAGAAATGTACTAATTACATTTATTGGATGTAATGTATACACACATGACCTTAAAATATTTTTGAATAAACTAATTAAAATTTTAGTATGTACATGGTAAAATTTTAATCATACTAATGATAATAATATTATTATTATTATTATTGTTATTATCATCGTAGTTTCTGAATGATTGATACAAATAAGAACTAATACTGAATTCTTTACAGTTTGTATTTGATGCTCTATGAAATACAATATATACCAAATCATTTGATAGTAGTGAATAAGTAGTATAATTGCCCATTGATAAAAAAATGTTGATCAAGCATCTGTAACTCATAGCAACGGCTAACATTAATCAATCAGATCATGGTATAAGAAAGTTGATTGGATTTAAATGCTGTGAAGTCAACCTAGTCAACACTACAGATTCTTTAATGCATCATGCTTAAATCACGTATCTAGTGAATTTTTATTTTAAAAAAAAGTAATTAGTGTAGAGAAACAAGTTTTGGTGATTAACACATAACCAGTTTTTTTCGGATACAATGAACAGGAATTAGTCATACATTAAGTTTTAAATCAAGGTTAAAACAGATCGATAAACAGTGATTAGTGGAAATTAAGTTAATTCAGATTGTGCATTAACATAAACTGAGCTACTATTAATTCTCTAATGATTTGATGTAGTTTATTAAATTTAGTTCTCTGTGTTTTAAAATTCTATTGAATATAATGAAAGATTTGCATTACTCAGAAGATTTAAAATTTAATATTGTTGAATAGGTGTATTTCAAATCACTTTACTATGTCGAGAGTAACATTTGATTTATGAATTGTAAACTATTTCTAATACTGAATATCATATTCACGTTTGACATCTGTCTGTTATCTTGGTGAGATCAACATTGTGTATGCAAAATGAGTGACTGCTTGGTTGACTTGAGGTGAAATTATTTGATGTCAGTTAAAAATACTTTGTACCACAGTAAATTCAGAATTCAGTTCACGAAAAAACGTGATATTTGGATTATGATTACTATTTACCGCCTGCAATGCATCAGTCTTATGTTAAGCATATATGAGTAAACTTAGTACCAAGTAATATACGTTGTTTATCGATTGAGTGGGATGATTTCAAAATCTCTAGATAGAATTATAGTTCTAACACAGATTCAGTAATGATTTTAATTTTTTTAATTTGTGTGCATACAGCTTACTAATTACAAAAAGTTGATACATTCACTTTAATTGAATAATTTCAAGTTGTGTGGTTCTTGGCAAATACTTAAGATAAAGCATAAATATGCACAAAATCATTTTAATTTGTTATGGTTAGTAGTTCATGATTGTCAAAAATAATACTGAGAGCTTGGCAGTGAAATTTAGTTTGAGTTGGTAACTTTGGCTTTTACACGTAGGTTGAAAATTGAAAATAATTCATATTTGTAACAAACTAAAACGCCGTCCATATTAGCTGAAGTGAATGGTAGCTCTGAGTAAAATCCAGGGCGTACACTTCTCCCTAGTTTTGACACGTCGGCTGGATGTACGTATATCTCTGGACTCAGTAGCAATGGTGTTTGAAGTGAAAGTTATTGGGTTCGAGCTCAGGATAAGATACCAGCTCTAAGATGCAAATAGGAGAACAAACCAGAATCCAGTGGAGGAGGAAATCAGGAAGAAGCGGTAAAAGTGGATAAGACACACACTACGTAAAGCACCTAACTGCGTCACAAGACAAGCCCTCACATGGAACCCTCAAGGCAAAAGGAAAAGAGGAAGGCCAAGGAACATGTAACGCCGAGAAATAGAAAAACACATGAGAAGGCTGAACAAAAACTGAACAGAACTAGAAAGCGAAGCCCAGGACAGAGTTGGTTGGATAAAACTGGTGGGCGGCCTATGCTCCATTGGGGGTAACAGGCGTAAGTAAAGTAAGTAAAAAATAGGAGAAAACGTGCTCCCTAGATTTCATTGCTAACTATTATCCATCTGTACTAATAATGTTAATGACCTAAAGGCAATATCGAGCCAATCCTCATGGGATGCACAAATGCCAAAGAGACTGATCAATTGCATGAAGTTTGAAACATCGATGCGAAGATTCAAACAACCAGTACAAGTGAATTAAATGCTTTTCTTTTCTTTATTTGACTTTTTTCTGCGCATATTATCTTTTGCATCTGAGTTTAAGCAATTTCAGTCAATCAACACGAAGCCGTACTCTTAATTTC